AAAAAAAAGAAAAAGAAAAAGAAATCACCTTTACTTTACATGCCAATCCATATTTAATAATACGCATATCCATCACACATCCTCTTGATTTCCATACTTCTCACCACCCATATCTTGCCTTCTCTTCTTAAACCTCCGTCGATGGTGCTTCTCGTCGAATTTCAACCGACCCGTGTCCTTAAACTTCTCTCTCAACACCGGATCGATAACACATTCTGGCAGAGGCACCGGGTACCTCACCGTGTCATAGCAATACGAGTAGTACATGTACTTTGACCTAAATCTCTTCATGGCCGCCTCTTGTTTACGGGTAATGGTAGCGAAATCGGCACTTGCAAGCTGATTGTGACTCAGTGCACAACCGGTGACCACGACCTCCTCCAGCATGTCAGTCGCGCAACCGTGGAGGACGAGGTCTGTGAATTCCGCCACGAAAGGGGCGTACTTGTAATTTGCTCTGTATTTCCCGCCCGAGGTTGCCCAATCCGAGGCGTCCCAAATCGTGGCGTATAATCTCATGGGCTTTGATGGGAAATCGGCCCCTATGGTTTCGTTCCTCGTTATCTCACGGATTGGGGTATCGTCAATGTAAAATCTGCAAATCAATTTTGAAAATTGAATTCAATTGAAAAATAAAAAAGTCTTACTAATATAATGGTATATCATTTTTTCCAAGTTAAGCTATGCTTACACTATCATATTGTACAAGATAGGTATAGTATTATTTTATATAGCTATAGGTTCATGCAATCCTAATTGAGGTACTATATGTTAGGCAAGCCACCTAGAATTCTTCACTATATATAAAATATATAAAATATTGGAAGATGCTACGATCCCGTTACGGAACCATTCTGTCGAGATTTGTAACCGTTAGATCAACTATTTTTTACGGTTACATGATGATCTAACGATTACAAATCTCGACAGAATGGTTTCGTAACAGGATCTTATAGCATTTTTCTAAAATATTATTTATTGAATTGAATACGTGTAGTTTTTGTTCATCTTTGATTCGATGAAGCAAGGACTAAAGCAAAGGATCTTTTCCGTTATAGTGGTTTTTTTTAATTAAGCAGCTCATTATGATAAAGACAGCACGAGTATTTATGTTTACTAATGTCAAAATTGGGATGATTAATTTTTGACTTTTTACACGCAATAAATATTGTACCAAAGTGCTTTTCTTTCGTGAAATTCCATTACAAGCCATTTTTTTTTTTTTCGTGGAATTTTATTACAAGCCTAACTTTTTTAATTGTATTAATTTAAAGTCTAAATTCTATTTGTACCCAAAAAAAAAAGTCTAAATTCTATATTTTTTTTTTTACATTTTATATTATTCTCAAGTTAATGTTCAATTTTATGTTTTGCTTTTCAATGTAAGACTCAATTAATTAACTTATTTTATGATGAATTATTCAAACAAAGATATTATATTTTGTAATTCCAATTTTAAAATAATATTTTTTTTTTTGCATTATATATATATTTTTATATTTGACATACTTATAATACAAAATAATAAACGTCTTCGGTAAAATTACCAAGGAAAGAAAATAAATCTATAAAAATTATATTTATGAAAAATTTAATAAGTATTATTTTCAATAAGTGAATTTGAAAATTAATAATTGAAATATTATTTTTATTATTAATGTGAATATGCAATGAAAATATTTATTATATTTAAATATTGTTTTCAATTTTTTATTACTTCACTTTTATATTTTTTTTTATTACATATTTTGATTTATTTGTGAATTTATTACATATTTCGATTACTAATCAAAATAATATTTAAATTATATAATTTTAAATTCTCTTATCATTTTTTGACGATAAAACTTACTAAACTTTGCATAAATATGACTTATATGGACTAATTTTCTGATTTATATTAATTGTCAAATATAGTTAACATTTTTTGTCATATATGTAAAATATAGATTATAAAACAAATATTATGGTTCACATAGTTTGGCTTTACATTGAAAAGTTCAATAAAAAAAAAACGCGTCTCATATTACGAATAATCTAAAATATAATTTTTCTATTGAAAAGAATATGATTCATACCTTAAATTGATAAAATTCTAAAAAAGTATAGTCTTCTAATAGAATGTTCCCTTTTCTTTCAACTACTTTTGTGGAAATACATATTCACATGAATCAATGGCATTTGTTGAATAAAAATGACCGTTTGTTACGAAATCAACAGTCGACTCCATAGTTGGGCCAACTTACTATATACAACAAGTAAACCTATCATATCGTTGATTATTTAAATAACACTAATGTAAATTTATTAATAGGGTATGATTTACTTGTTGTATTTAGTAGGTTGATTCCACTATGAAGCCAACTGTTGGCTTTATATCAAAACCGATAAAAATGAACATGTTTTCTCCTTATCTAACTATCTAAATTGAAATAAATAAAAAATATTTAGCTAATATAATTGAATGTATTATATTTGAAAAAAAAAAAAAAATCTATCAAGTCAAAGACCGAGACAAAAGATTTTTTTATTTTATTTTATTTTATTTATTTATTTATTTATTATTATTATTTTTTTTTGCCAAAACTTCGAAAATCCAATAATGATATTTCGAAAATAATAAAATTTGGATTTGTCCATGTGACTCGTAACAATTTTATTTTATTTTATTTTATTTTATTCCTAATTCTCGAGTCTGTCCTTTTCTTATAGGCTTTGAAAATCATGGCCGCCCAAAAATCACGCTTAACAAAATTTTATGGGCAGTATTGAAAAGGTCAAATTTCATTGGCAGCCCCAACTGGGAATTGAAAACTTGAAAAAGAAATACTAATAAAACAAAGAT